GGAAAAAGCCATAGAATCAAAGTTGTAGAGCATCAAATTTTGCGTCCATTGAGTACCAACTAATTTAATGTAGGTCACTTACTCCAAACAAAATCGGTAATCTCCCGATGATTAGAATAGAGTAATTAAAGGCAAAGGCTCAAGAATGTTCCCCCTCCCCTACTCCTAAGATATTTTGTTGCTCATCTTTCCTTAAAAACAGAGTAAGCTATAGTATTATCTTAGAAAATTAGAAACATAGTAGAGTATATGTAATTACACTTGCTGCGGTCTGTTCCATGTTTTGTCCTTGTCCCTTAGTCCGGAAATTCATATCCACATCGAAATTTGCATGCAGTATAAGCATTAATACTAATTTACAATTAGAGGCGTTAATTGTTCTGTAGAGCCTTTCTCATGCTTGCCCATCTTGTCCTGCCAATCTCAATCTTCCAGCTTCCATATCATGGGATATTTATTGATTGAACAGTTATATTTATTCTGGGAGTAGTTATTGGTCCTTCTTCTCCACGGGTCAATAATCTCATTTTAGATTGCTCAGATTATCCAGCAGTGGATTTTCCTTTCAAATCTTTCAATACTTTTACGTTAAAATGATCTACAAATCCAATTGATTTAAAATTGGTACTGAAAATGACACCATGCTGGGTCCCCAATTGAACTAGTCTGAGCATAAGGCAAGATCCCATAAAATTAATTCAGAAAAAAATTACACTAAGGCTAAACAGAATCTGGTATTTTTTTTTTTTTTTTTAATTCATAGAATAGTTATGTACCGATTAAGTTAGTTAAATTAGATTCGGGAAAACGTTAACTATTAGGCAGCAATCGACCCATAATGTCTTAAAAATTTGATAATTGAGTATTATTACATCAAACACTGATTTTTTAAAATTTCATTTTATTGTTTTAGATACCATTGGTATTAGGAATATTATTCCTAACATATATAGCAGCACTGTTGTTATACCTCTCCTTTGAGGCCCCAACAGCACATTTGGACAGCATTATATTTCAAAAAGGTATAAATGAATGATATGGTTATTTATTTGGCAATAAATAATTTCTAGAACCAGTTATGTAACATACAAAGTAAAATATTCAAGATTTAGAGATATTTCTTGTAAAATTAGTAAATATTTTATTGAGTTAGTGATGTCTTATACTTCTAGGCGCCCATGGAAAGCAAACCAGGAAAGAAATTGGAGAAAATAATTCAGCACCAGAAATCACAACTGTAAAAAGAAACAGTATTCAAGATTTAGAATCATCTATTGAAAAATAAGAACTTTAAATACTATAATCTATGAATTCTTCAGTTTTATGTTCTATAGTTTTCATAGATAAGTCACTAATCACAATATTAAAAATATTTTTAAAGGTGTCGTCATGTGGGTGGATCAAGCATATAGGTATATCTTGGATAGGTCCAATATCAATTTATAAAGCACTTGCTCGGAAAACTTTGTCTGTTTATGTGTTTGTGACTATAAAAATTAAATCCAAGCCATTTTTTCAACAAGATGAATGCAATGAAAAATACTAATTTTCATAAAATTGGTTTTTAACTTCACTCTTAAATACACTTTATGAACTTCTCGCTTTATGTGTACATTGTACTTTTATCCAAACTATTCAGGTCACAAATTTTATATGACGAGATTGGAATGGATTAATTAATTATTAAATATCTTTCTGTCATTATCAATCAGAGGTTAGCTATATCAATTGGAATTAATAAAGTTCAATCAACTTACTCATAATATTCAATTTTTTTCTTTAACAATCAAAACTAAAATAAAATATTTATTCAAATATTAGCAATGAAATATGATTAGCAATTATGTTCACCTATTGATTTATTCAAAACAAAAATTTACTGATAAAATATTTTTTGGTCAGTACACGGGTACTTTTAGAAGGATATCAAATCAAATTTTTCATGCAACTTGAGGTGAATATCAACTTATTGCATAATAAACCTTAACTCAACTAATATGGACTTAAAGCTTATTAAACAAGGAAGTTTTTTCTAAACATGGGGTATCTGTTGAATAGTTGAATGGTGATAAAAAAAAATCACAAATAATTTATGATTTTTTTTAACAATACTTTATTGTATATAGGTTTGTCTATGTTATTTTACTTTACTTATCTTCAAGTTTATTTTATTTTATATACTTTAATTTGTATTTAGTTGTTACTTTGATTCTGTTTTATATTATTTATATATATTTTCTGTAAATATGATGTATGGAGTGGAGTAGCTCAGTGTTAGGCCGCTGAGCTTCCAATGCTCATGGTCCCAGGTTTGAATCCCACCTTATGGCAGATAAATTATTTATACTGTTACATTAACCATGGATCGACCATAGGGCCAGGAGACCATCCTAGAGCACACACAGCCTCTATAATGTGAGTACCCTTAAATAAATAATTACTTAAGGGGGAAACCTGGCGGTTGAGCGTGATCTCAGTCAAATCACATTTTTGCACAACCATTGACCAAGAAACAGTACTTTTCCTAAATAGTACTAAACCCAAAACTCATCACGGGTTATAGGGGTACAGGTAAATATGATGTGAATGTAATCTTCACTATAATCAGTGTCCGCATTGTGACAGATCATTACATTAAACAATAATAATAATAATAATAATAAACACCAGATCTTAGCTTAGTTCAGCCGCTTAAAAGTCTTCTTTAAATGGTTTTCATAATGACAAGTTCTACATTCAATTTAAGTTAATTTTGTCTAGTTTACTGTGGAAAAATTGTTAATCACTGCAATTAACTAATTATTATTATTATTTTCTTAACTTACTAGAATAAGTTGAATAATAAGTAAAAAATATGTCTTTTACATCTATTCAAACTGCTAATATTATTTCCACTATTATAAAATATTTTCATTAACATAAGGGTTTTGAATGTAATTCACTACTTTAAGTTCAAAAAAATGTTACAGTTATTGGTCAATAGTTTTTAAAAAATTAGATGGCAAGTGAAACAACCCACCTAATGTCATAGATTTTGCATTTATTATTAAAAATGTATTATGTCTTGAATTGTTTGAATAACTTTCATACTATAACTTGGGGTTACTTGGACCCGCACTGAAAACAATAGTGGAGAGGTGTCTCAGGATCTGTTAATACTACTGTCACTTTTTTATTATTTTTTTTGTTTTTGTTTCTAATATATTTATTTAAATTAGCAGTACAGTATATTCCCAATTTGATTTTATAATTTTCATAACTTTATTTTTATTTATCTTATTTTTTAATCAAGAAATATATTTCAATTTGTGTAAAATACCACAGTTTGTTGTTTTCTCAATTTTTATCATTTTCGTCTGTTATTATTTGAAAAAAATCTGTTATTATGCTGTTATCGGATATTTAAATGTTATTATACATGTGGATCACAAATTATTAATCAATCTATATGTTTAATATTTTTATTAATCTTATTTTTTATTTATTTCTTATATCTTTTATCTGTTACCATTATTGCATTTAAAAAAAATTATAATAGAAACAATAGCCTTAAAATGGATTATTATTATTATTATTAAAAAGTGTGTGCTGAGATGATAGCCAGTGATTGGGAAAAACATTAAAATCAATGTTAAACATCTTTCCATAATTCTTAATTTGTGAGGATATATTGGAAGACTTTAAGTAATTTATGCTATTAGACATTATTTTATTTTATTAAACAGTTATCCCTGATGGGCCAATAGTTGTTAAGGAGTTAATAATTGAAAATAAGCAAATTTATGAAATATGAAAGGGGAGCTGGTCTCATACCCTGAATAATAATATCTTATCTCTCTATACATGACTTCATTAGCTGCACGCTCAAGCACCGCTCTCCTCAAAGTCAGCTTTGCCGTCTTCTGTGATCCTTTGTAAGCCGAAGCAGTGTTGAAGGTTTATAGTAAAAACTGTATGGTCTCTGTATCCAGGAACACCTTGCTCTGAACGTCTTGTGTGTATGTGAGTAAGATAGAATGAGAGAGCGGCTCTTGCTGTTTACCTGGGATTAATCTGTGCTTGTGATTTCGCTTCTTTGATGATAACAAAGCTGCCATCAGTGAGGGGGGTAAAATAAATGAGACCAGGGGCCCAAGATACAAAAATTAAATTAGAAAATACATTATAAATTAATTATTTAATAAGTTTGGGTCATTTCATACCAAAACATACAGAACCCAACACCCTCTCCTCCAACCAGCTTGTATGTGTTTGTTCTTTCATATGTGAAGTCAATATTTATTGAGCTGGAGTTTTCAAAATGTATTCACTTGTTTTAAATTTAATGTAGAATCAGATAATACCATAAATATTAGCATTGTAATTTTTCATCATAGGTAAAATAAATCTTAAATATAAAAATTAATATATTTTCAAAGTTGTAATACTATCATTTAAAAATATTTGTAGCTAAAATCTCTTTCCATTATCCTAATACAACCATGAAAACAGCATTAAATTCTCTATCAAAAGATTTTCGTTTTTTAAAAATAAAAATAATAACATATTATTCTTATTAATATATTATGTTTTATCATGTTATAATATTTTTTTTCTAGAAAAATAATTGTCCATAAATGTATTTGTGTGGTTGCTAGTGTGGGATCTGTATCTCAAGTGCCTGAGTGTGTCACTTTAAATTGTTCATTATTCCATATGTTTAGCTTCAGTGATGTGAATGTAAAAATAATATAATCAATGGTACAATTGTAATTAAGTCAGATAGAAAATGGTATGGTACACAAAGTTTATTTTTAATTTTAATATTTAAATAGTTAATCAAATGGTGAATTGTTGTTCATGATAAACTAACTCTGTAACTTGAGAATAAAATTTAAATATTCACTTTTCAATTTTGAATAAGTTTTCCGTTTTCCAGTTTCTGTTTTACAGTTTTATATTATTTTTAACAATCTTGTTTTTGTTTCTGTAAAAATGACTTTTATAACAATCAGGAATCAAATACAAAAATGAAATAGTATAAAATTATATTATATTTATCTTCAAAAAAAAAATATATAAATACATAGAACAAATAAATAAAACATCATTTGTTATTAAATTAAATTTAATATATTGTTAGTTTCAATTGGAAAGCACTCAGGTACAAAATGTTTTGATTTTGAGTTATTTTACCATAGAATTTGATTTTTGCCCAAATATTAGGAACAACTTATTAATTATTAATCTTTTCAGCTCAATAGTTCATTACTTTCTAATATACCCTGATTAAATGAAAACATATCATGAAATGATGAAAATTAAATTAATTTTTTTTTTTTGCTATGCTGTAAAATTAGGATTTCCAGTTAAGTGGTTCCATATTGAGACTGATGATATACATATGTATAGACTTAATTTTCTTTCAAAATTATAAATAAAATCAAACAATAAAAATGTAAATATTCTCATTTTTTTTTCAATTTTTATTTTAACATTTAAAACATAAACAATCAAAATTACACAAGTTTATTAATTAATACTTCCTAGTCCACTAATTATTATTCTAATTTCCTTAACTTACTAGAACAAAGAAGAATATCAAGTAAAAAAGTAAAAAATATGTCTTTTACATCTAATGAAACTGCTAATATTATTTCCACTATTATAAAATATTTTTATAAACATAAGGATTTTGAATGTAATTTACTACTTTAAATTCAACAAAATTTTAGAGTTCTTGGTCAATAGTTTTTAAAAACTTAGATGGCAAGTAAAACCTAATGTCATAGATTTTGCATTTATTAGGTCTTGAATTGATATTTGAATAACTTACATACTATAACTTGGGGTTACTTGGACCCATACTGAAAACAATTGAGAGGGGTCTCAGGATCTACTAGTACTGCTGTTTTTGGGTTGTTTTTTTTTTTTGTTTTTTTTCATTAGGCCGTAAGACTTGTCAAAGCAAGTCCTATTTTGCAGTACTGTTACTTGCTATAGAGATTTTGAATTATATCTATATCTTCATACACATAGATGTAATTTAAAAAACATTTTTCAGTGGGTCCAAGTGATCCTGAGTTATAATACTTTCTTTTATTGGATCACTGTAATCATTGAAAGATTATTGATTTTATAGATAATCTTAACAGATAATGTATTTGGTTCAGAAACCTAATAAACATATATAAGTATATGTTTAATGACATTAATCTCAATATTACGATTATTCACATGATATTCAATAGAATCAATGATATTTTTTTTTAATTAAATAAATTAAGGTAAATTTTGTTTCAAATAACTTAATTGTCATATCAATCAAACTATCAGCATTTTAATAAAAATTAATTCACTTCTGTTTCTTTTTTCAATGGTTCATTTTCGGGATTGATCGAAAGACTAACTTCCCTTGCATTGTACCTTAAAGGACCAGCAGTGTAATCTGGATGATACTGACTAAAATAAAAAATAAGAATAAAAGTTTAATATGTACATTAAAATATAAGACTAACTTAGATTAATTAATATCAAATTATTTTTAAAACAATTTACACAGTTTGATGCAGTTATATTTACTTTCTTAATTTCAATGCTTGTGAACATACAAATCTTCATGAATTGCTGATTGGACAATTATCACAAGATATAGTGGGCAGTGTATTAATAAAATAGCCAGAAGAAGGGGTAAGGGACACATTTATATTCTTAAATTCAGAAGTGAAGTTTCTCAGAATATTAAAAATCCTGGTCAAAACCTAATAGCCTGGTAACCTTGTGATGAAAATGGGGGCCCAAGTTGCGTTGAATGGGGGTAAGGTTTCTTTTTTTTTCTATGGGATGTGACTGAGATGCAAAATCCGAGTTTTCGAGCTTTTGAAACAACTTGAAAACGACTTGAAAAAATTGACTTTACTGATATTTTTTACTGCCAAGGTCTAAAACTTGAATTTTGTATCTCAGTCATATCCAAACAAGAAAATAAAAAGAGACCTTCTACCCCCATTCAATGCAACTTAGGATGTACAAGGTTACTCGGCCATGTACAAAGTCGTATCTCAAAAGTGGATGTATACAAATCTTTCAGGAGGTGTATCATGCCACAAACCAGATTGATCAATTCTATCTACTGCTTCTTACTCCATCTACTGTAATTTCATTCACAGAACTGTCAATGGATTTACTACTACTATGTCTAAAATATGGTAAAAGAGCAAAACTATGCAAATCATTCAACAAGAAGGCGCCAAAAAAAGAAATAGGAGATATAACCAATAAAGTAAAAAAATAATATAAAAACCTGAAAAATATAAAACAAATTTGACTGTTAACAAACATAATCCCTACAAACAGAAGATATACTGTATTATAAAATGGTAGATTAAAAAGAAGATAAATGAAGGGAAAGGAAAAGACTTTCAATTAAAATCTCATTTATTTGATGCCATGATTATGAATGCTTCAAAAAACCTTCTCAAGCCTTTCATAGACACTAAAATAATCTCAGCCATTGTTAGACTATTTGTAAGTTAGATATAAAGATTACTGAACAGATAACATAAATTGTCTGTGATCAAAATGAGTGAGGTGGCAGTAATGTGGTTAGTGGTAGGATAAGATCAATATGAGATATCTAAATGAAGGAAGATGAATAGTTTAATCAATGGGAAACAGGTTAATGTAGGGAGGTGAATAGTCTAACTTATAACTGAATAGTCCAAACTATAGCCTCTTGGAAAGATTCAAAACATTGAGAAATAGATTCTATTCTGAAAAAAACACCAATACTTCTAAAATATCAAAAACCTAATGCTACCTACCTTGTTTGTCCAGTATAAGATCATATCCTATCCTCCAATAAAATTAACTAAGGGTGTCTGTTTTGATTAACTCTCTTTATTTTAATTCTTGACAACTTCCATTCTGTCCATTTATGAGAGTGGAAAAAAAATCGTAGAGTTCAGTGGGGTCTTGGATATATGCTTGAGGATATCAACTATGCTGACGATCTTTGTCTTCTTGCACAGTAGTTCACTGATCTACAGGCTAAGTTAGATGTTCTTTACTGAATCAAAAAATGAGTTGAACTTTGGGATCAACATTAGTAAACCAAAGGAAATACATGTAAATGAGCGATGTCAGGCCATTTGTTCTGAGGAACCCGTCATTGTACAAATAGAATCTTTTATCTATTTAAGAAGTCATCATTGTCATAATGGATTCCCATTTCTCCTTATGATGATGGTGCATGCCCTCCCACCCAAGATGTTAGAACTAGATCGAAAAATCAAATGGGGTGTTAGTTCAATTTTTGAACTAACACACCATTTATGTACCCCATTCAACTAACAACCCACTAAACAAGAAGATTGTTTGATACCTATGTAAAGTCAGTACAACTATATGGTAGTGAAACCTGAAGGGTGATTAAAACCATTATCAGGTCTCCTCAAATCTATATTAACTGCCATTTGTGAATATTCTTAAGAATCTGTTGTTCTAAAAAATAGAATTCTGGGGAATCAGAGCAGTTTCCTACCAATCACAAAATAAGAAAGAAGAAACAGAATAACTATCTGTAAGAATAATAAGAAAATAATTATCCCTTAAGAAGACCTGATGGTTTTATCAAAAATCATACTTTGAAGTGAATCCCAAGAGAGAAAGACAAAGAGAGACACGGCACAAATCAGCAAAAAAGAACCTGTACTGAGTATGAAAAACGTGGCAAGAAGTAAAATGGGTCACAACTAGAAGAGCAACATTAAACTCACTTGTAGACACCCTGCACCCTTCTAGGACTAGTGGTGTGAATAAAAGTAAATAGATGAATATAAACATGTGCTGAATATATATAGTGTACATAAATTGATAAGTTAACAAAAACTAAATAAAAAGTTAATAATGTAAAAATTCTGTAAATGATTCCAAACTTACGTTCTTTGATCTGTATGTAGTTCATTCTTTTTCTGCTCTATTATCCGCCTTACAATTCGAAAACCAGCACATACAAGTACAATAATAATGGGTATAAGGACTAGAGCTATTATACCCCAAGTCCAACCAAATGCCCGCAAAGAATACTCTTCTTCCACTAGTAAAAATAAGTAGAAACATTTAAATTAAAAAGATAATATAAATATAAATATTATTTTCGAAATTATTTAAACTTTTAAAAAATTATTTATATTTTTAGTATATCATTAATGATTGATTACCTGATGAATATCTTGCATTTCTAACTAAAGTAATTATTTATATATTGAAATATTTATTTTGAACATGAGGTACTTTGCTATTAATTTTAATCAAGTGGATTATTTTTGAAGCAGTAAAGGTTAATGAGTAAAAACATTTTTTCCTTGCACATGTATTGTCTTCAGATTTTAATAGTTATTGCTCGAAGATGAAAAAAATTCGAAGACGACGAAAGAGTGTTACAACATGGAAATTGAATATAATAAAAGCTGTTTAAAGTAAATTGGATCTTTTTGAGAGCTATAAAAAAAACTTAAAAATAAGAAAAAACCACCCATGCTACTTACCACCACAAGGCGATTAGAAAATTTTCAGCCATTTTGAAAATTAGTAAAAACTAAATTTATCAACTTTGGAACTAGGTGTAATAGCTTGATAAAAAAAATGTCAAGGTCAAATGAAAATGACAATTTATAATTAATTTGTTTGTTAAAGAAGGTATATAAAATTATAAGTGTAATACTGCCCGTTCAGGTACACATTTGAAGTGAGAGAGTCGAAGAATTGATAAACAATAAGTTTCAAGTTTCCTGTTTTACCCTGTACCTTAGTGTATCCATTGAGGTATGAAACTTTGGAATGAATGGTTGCTGAACCTAAAATGATGCTATGTATTCACTCATAATTGCTACCTTTTTTTCATTTACTTTAAAAATAAGTAATTTAGATTTCTTGACAGCTTCCGGTTTAAAGTTTACTTTTTAGGAATCTATATCATTTTGGTCAAGGAATTAATAGTACATAATAATTTAAAAAAAAAAACTTTGAATCTCATGAAAATTACTACAGATAAATGTTACCTAATTTCATAATATATGGAAGAGTGTTAAAAGATTATTGGAATTTTACATTATTTATGCGGATTTCATGCTTAAATACCAGTTTTAAAGCAAAAGTGCCAATATATATATATAATTTTAAATTTACCTCAAATTAGGTAAATGAGAATTGCTGCTGTGACCTTCATTCTGCAAAAGCTGTTACTATAGCTAGTGAAAAAGAAACTATTATGTGTTAACTGTTTGTTCTCGCATTAAGTTTTTAACCAATATTTAAATAATTGTAACTTGATAATTTAAAATATTTTGAATGGTATTGCACCAGAACAAATTTTTGAATATACCTTGTATTCATGTTTTTATCTGTATACTTTATAAATAATTTCTTTTGAACTTCATTTTTACTATGACACCCTCTTCTTGGAAGCATAGATTTTATCAACCAATCATATACATTTCTGCAATCCTTATTAGACATAGTGTTTACAATTTGTTAACTGTTACCACAAATTTTACAATGAGGAAATCTCTTTGTGAATTTATTAATTTTTTGCATCAATTGATAATTTTACATAACCATTTCCATATATTAAAAAAAAAATAATTATTGTCACATTATATTACGAATTGGTAACTGGCCCAATATGCGAGTTAATAGTGTTATTATGAAAATTTTCATTGTCTTCTTCACCCTATGAACTAAACTCAATCTTCCTTTTAATCAATTGTTTCCTCATTTATCATCATTCCTCATCATTCATTTCCTCAATTCCTATCTTGAAGACCTGCCTGATTTCTATGCTGTATCATTCATTCATTTTTTCTTCTTCACTCAATCTTGCTGGAATAGTAATTACCACACCGAGAATAATATTGCTGTTGTTTTTATTGTATCCACGGTAATTACACATTTTCTCTCATGATAATTATAAAGCATACTTTTCGTAGAAATTTCTGAATAAAAAAAAGATCATATAAAAATGATGTTGATGTAATTTAATACTACTGTTTAAAATCTATAAAATGATAATAAACAGAACGTCCACATTTTGTGAACATTATAGTTAAAAGAGCCCACATTAATAATAATTCAAATTAAAGGTGCCTGAAAAGGAACAGTTAACATTAACTGCCTTTATTCAGCTAATTAGAACTTCCTAGAACCAGGGAAATTTTTGATAGTTAGGACTGCCTTCTTCCTCTATAGTATAGTATACTACTATATTATAGTATTCATTGTTTTGTTTTTTCATTTAGTTTATTGTACAAAATATTTTATAGTTTTACTTTCTTTACCTCCACTGGAGACGTGATATTTAAATTTATGAGACCTTTGAGTCCAAAAAACACATTTTTGGCCATTGATTTATGTATCTGTGTGTGTATCATTGCTGCTACATAGGATGAAGGCCACCTAGACATATGGCAAAAGATGGATACCATGTGGACAATAAACCTGTTTGACTATGGATTGCAAAGCCAAAATGGTTTAAACACTAATAATGAAACTAGCCTAGAAAAGTATTATAGTTTCTTATAACTCAAAGCACTTTATGTAATGTTCTATTTAACCCTTGGAAAGTAAATAAATCCCCACTCCCTAAAAAAAAAATAAAAAGATTTAAATCACTAAAACAAATGAATCAATAATCTATACAAAATACAGCATAATGACCTTTTAACTCAAACTATACTCCCCTGAAATATCATAGGGGCTCATTTGATTATTAAATTGCTTACAAAGATTTAAAAAAAAAAAAAAGACCTGTACCACTCCAACTCAAGAAGGATTCTCAGTTAAGTACTTAAGAATTACTATTTCAAAGTGAATGGTTATGTAGAGAGGTAATTGGACCCAAGATCATGTTCAACTGCCATGTTTTTCCTTTCAACCAATTAATTGAGGACACCCACTTTACAGAGGGTAGGTGTGCCCCATGAGGGTCTCCTGACCATAGAGTCGATCCATGACCGATGAAACAGAATAAATAATTATCTGTCACAGCCAGACTTGAACCTGAGTCCTTGAGAATAGGAGCACCTTACTCACTGAGCTATCCCACTCTCCTAAAAAGCTTAACTTAAACAAATCATCAAACATCTTAATTGGACCAATATTAATGAAAACATGAAGACTTTTTTTTTATTGTACTTAGCACCAAAAGCAATAAGGAAAGTCATGTGAATGATATTTTTCACTAATTATTTTTTATATCAAATACTTGTTCTCTTGATACGTCAGAACTAAACCCAATTTAATGATTTTGTTTTCAAATGGAACACTTTATTTGTCTGAAATAATTAACCAATAAATAAATAGCAGGCTGTAAAATACTTTAATGTTTCTATTATAGTTCTGCATCATTGTTACCTACAAAATTTGGAAATATTTATCTATTGATTCTCTCACTATCTTAAATTTATTTTACAATAGAACAACTATAAATCATGTAAACAATAAATTTAACTTAAGCAGAATGCTTTTATGCGTTATGAAAAGGAAGAATTCCCATCATAAATTATCATAAACAGATTAAAATCAACCTCAGTAAATACAAACTCACCTACGGATTTTATTAATGAAATGATTTAGAAAAAGTTTATTTTTTAAATGCTTCATTTTAATACCTTAAAAAATTGAATCAAATGATTTTAGAATTTTATTGACAATGAGTGTGCATTACACAATTTTTATATTTATTTCAATATTTTAAAATAATGAATTCAGCATACAATGAGTTATTTCTTCATTATTTAGAATGTTTTTGTATCCTATATTTGAATTATTAGAAATGTTTAGAAACCTCAATGCATATTAAAAGAGGCTAAAGATTTTAGTAGTCATTACTAACTATCTACCACTTAAGCCTCAAGAGGTTTATCTTCTTATTTATGCATTACTTATTTATGTATAAGAAACATATTTTATTTTCATATAATGTATTTTTACTTGTAATACAGTTGTAAATATCATTAATAAATAAATAAAAAAAAAAAAATTTTCATATAAAAAAAAAGATACAGCTAAAATTATTTTAAAATAAATTTAATTATTCTATTAAAAGTAAAATGTGAATCATATTAAATAAAAAATCAATTGGTAAACTTTTACAATCAAAATATCCATATAGTTCTTATTATGAATACATTCAGCATGAATGATATCGTATTTTGGCTTGTTATCATTGTGGTAATTATTCCAAGATAGAAATAAATATATATATTTTGCACTCCTTGCCTATGCTTAATATTTATCTATCAACCTTAAAATTTTCTAACAGTACTAAAATAAACCCAAAAGAAATAAAAAGAAACTATAATACATTAAAGATTAGGTTTCAGACTAAAATAAAATTATTTAAATAAAAAATAGTATATTCAAATCTACAAATTATAGAGTTAATTTATATTCACTTGGAATTAAATTAAATAAAGATAATTTTAGCAGTACAAAAATGAAAAGATCTTATACTAAATATACCTATAACAAATAATAATCAGTATTTTGTCATGTATGCCTGGATTAAGCATTGATAACTGAACCGAATCGAAAATTCTTAATTTATGATAGAATATATAAAGACAGAATCATATTTATTTTTAAAAAATTACAATTGTTTTCACCATTCTAGTTTAACAAATTCCAAAAATAAATTTTCATACATTTTCTCATTTTAAATGTAAAAATAAATATATTTTATATATTCATCTAAAATAACACAGTTATTCAAATAATATCAAAAGAATTATAAATTTTGTGAATACAATATCTTACTTTAATTTAGAATAACAACTGATAAATGGATTAGAATGCCAATACTTTAATTAACAATGTATGTGCTGCGATTTTCTTTAATCTGTTTTGTTCCAGTTGATCATTGTCATGAAAAGATATTTTGACTACAATTATACAATATTTATATACAGTTATGAAAACATTACGATTTTCTAGTTCTAATCAATATTCATGAATAGATCATGTTTTTACTAGTCAAATTTATTATTACTTAAGTACAATACTTTAAAAAAAATAATAACCTAGTAAATTATTGTAATT